ACCTGTAATCCCAGCCCTTTAGGAGGCCAAGGCAGGCAGATCATCTGCGGTCAGGAGTTCAAGACCAGCCTGGCCAACATGGTGAAACCCCATCTCTACTAAAAATACAAAAATTAGCCGGGTGTGGGGGCAGGCATCTGAGGTCCCAGCTTCTCGAGAAGCTGAGGCAGGAGAATCACTTGAACCCAGGAGTTGGAGGTTGCAGTGAACTGAGATTGCACCACTGCACTCCCGGGTGGGCAACAGAACAAGACTGCATCTCAAAAATAAAAATAAAAAAAAGATGAGGAGTATCTCTAGGAGATGAATTCACTTGTTAATGAAAATAAAAATTAAAAGCAAGGTACAGCAGAGAGTATGTACTATGTGTAAGAAAAGAAAACAATGCCGGGTGCGGAGGCTCATGCCTGTAATCCCAGCACTTTGGGAGATCAAGGTGAGTGGATCACTAGGTCGGGAGTTCGAGACCAGCCTTACCAAGATGGTGAAACCCCATCTCTACTGAAAATACAAAAATTAGCTGGGCGTGGTGGTGGGCACCTGTAATCCCAGCTACTCTGGAGGCTGAGGCAGGAGAATGGCTTGAACCCAGGAGGCAGAGGTTGCAGTGAGCTGAGATTGTGCCATCGCACTCCAGGCTGGGAGACACAGCAAGACTCCGTCTCAAAAATAAAAATAAAATAATGACATAGCTATGTACCTGCTTATTGTCGTGGAAAGAAGGTAAAAAGAAGGGAGGAAAAGGAGAAGACAAACAAGGAAGAGAAAACAGATGGGGGTGGTGCGAACAGATGGAAGAATGGGAATGGGAATACACCCATTTGTGTAGTGTTGAATTTTGACCTGGGTAAAGAATAGGCAAGAAAGAAACAAAAATGATGGAACAAACCTTCAAGTGAATACAAACAGAATCAAAGAACCTCATACATAGCAAACTCATAACATGGTTTCCAAGAGAAAATTAATAATTCGATTACCTTTTTTCTTTCTTTTTTCTTTTGAGACAGGGTCTCACTCTGTCACCCAGGCTGGAGTGCAGTGGCGCAATCTTGGCTCACTGTAACCTCCACCTCCCGGGTTCAAGCAATTCTTCTGCCTCAGCCTCCTGAGTAGCTGGGACTACAGGTGCCTGCCACAACACTTGGTTTTTTTGTGGGGTCGGGGGGGAGATTGCAGGTGACTCACGCCTGTAATCCCAACATTTTGGGAGGCCAAGGTGGGCAGATCACCTGAGGTCAGAGGTTTAAGATCGGCCTAGCCAACATGATGAAACGCCATCTTAACTAAAAATATAAAAATTAGCCAGACATGGTAGCTTATGCCTGTAGTCCCAGCTACTCAGGAGGCTGAGGCACGAGAATCTCTTGAACCCTGGAGGCGGAGGTTGCAGTGAGCTAAGATCACACCACTGCACTTCAGCCTGGACAGCAGAGTGATACTCAGTCTCAAAAAAAATAAATAAAAATAAAATGAAGGAGATGCTTGCAGAACCATGAGGATATGTCAAAAAGACACAAGAGCTGTCTCCTCGCTCTGAACATTTTCAGCATCAGAAAAATATTACAACAGTAAGGCATTAAAAACACCTTGAATTAAAGGGAAGAAAAAGAATCATAGGCCTACAGGAATACTCAAAAACTGAGTTAGAGGGAGGGAAAGACCTTCCTTACGGAAGAATGCCAGCCAGTAAACATCAAAGAAATGATGCAATTTTTTGAGATGGAGTTTCATTCTTGTTGCCCAGGCTGGAGTGCAATGGCGCGATCTCGGCTTGCTGCAACCTCAACCAAATTGAGGTAAAACACTCCATTTGAACATCCACAGACTCCCCAAAGCCCTGGGCTATGAACCCTGATGTAGGAGAGTGGAGCTTAGGACGCAGCACAGAGGAGCAGCAAGCTGAGGAGAGGGGGCTCGAATGAGCGGAGCAGGGAAAGCCACAGCCAGAGAGGGGGTCAGGCCGGGAGGGGCGCAAACGCCACGCAGTCAGCATACCAGGTGGGACACTTGCCACTGGGAGTGATTAAAAATCAGATCCCAAAGATCTTTTTTTTTTTTTTCTTTTTTGAGAAGGAGTCTCGCTCTGTCACCCAGGCTGGAGGGCAGTGACACCATCTCGGCTCACTACAACCTCCGCCTCCCAGGTTCAAGCGATTCTCCTGCCTCAGCCTCCCCAGTAGCTGGGATCACAGGTATGCGTCACCACACCCGGCTGATTTTTGCATTTTTTAGTAGAGACGGGGTTTCACCATGTTGGTCAGATGGTCTCAAACTCCTGACCTCGTGATCTGCCCACCTCGGCCTCCCAAAGTGCTGGATTACAGGCATGAGCCACCGCACCCAGCAAGATCAATTTTACATCCACCTATGTGACAGTAAGAAAGCCAGATCAACTTCAGGGATGAAGGCGGACAGTCAAGACCCGTGGTAACACTGTCTGGCGTCTCTCTGGTGCCGCCACCACATATCACCTGCCTCTGATTCAGGGCCCCTTCCCAGCTCGTCATCACACCTGCCTGGCCTTCTCTGTCCAGTGCGGCTGCCCAGATGCCTTGGAGAGCACAGCCTTCTGAGCTCCATTCCTCCTGGTGTCTTTCCTTGTTTGGTGCTTTCTAAGGAGTAGGCAGGTCTTAGGGATTTTTTTTTTTTTTTTTTTTGGAGACAGGGTATCGCTCTGTCACCCAGGCTGGAGTGCAATGGTGTACCCGTGGCTCACCGATGCCTTGACCTTTCTGGCTCAGTCCATCCTCCCGCCCTTGGCCTCCCAGGTGGCTAGGACTACAAGCACATGCCACCACACCCGGCTAATTTTAAAACTTTCTGTAGAGACAGAGTCTCCCTATATTGCCCAGGCTGGTCTCAAACTCCAGAGCTCAAAGATTCGTCCTGCCTCTCCACCTCCTAAAGCATTGAGACTACAGGCATGAGCCACCATGCCCAGCCTAGGGATTTGTAATGTGCTCTTTCAAAAGACTACGAGGGCTGTTTGGTGTCAAAGCACGTCCAAGTACCAAGAGATAAGAGATCGAAAGCTCTGAAAGCATGCCAAATCCAAACTTCAAAAGTAAGGCAGATAAGATGGCTCAGAAATAACCATACTGGGTCCACTTAGCATTCAGCAGATCACGTGGTCACGAGAGCAACGGCTAAAAGGAAGATAAATAAATCAAGTGGACCACGTCCACGAGCATAATCAACTCTCAGAATGAGTCCGTCACCTGTCACCAGCTGAGAAACCCAAGCCAGAGCTGGCTCTGCTGGGTTGGTAAGACGCCCCACCCCAAACTGACCAACCGAACCAGCATTTCTAGTCTTCCGAATTGCCTGCGGTCTATAGGCCTGGTGGTGACGGCAGAGAATAAAATCTCCGCTCACACTGGTCTCCAGTTACAGCGTCCTGATCACCGCAGCTGGGAAAGCTGAGAACTTTTCCTCATCTAGCACATTTGCGAAACTCATTGGCTTTAACAAACTGTTCCCCACACACCTGGCCTGTGCGGTCTCCTCTAACCAGCATGTGCTGTGTCATATTCAGAAAGTGCTTATAGGCGCTCACTGGCCTTGAAAAATATCCATCAGCTGTTGGGTAAGCTGAAACCCATCGAGGCTCTGGTGAAATGTTCACTTCAGGGAAACACACACACAAGGCAATTTGATCAGACTTCACACGTTTTAACAAAATCCAGGTGAAGGAATCTCCTCTGGAAAAACAGAAGACTCTTACGGGCAGCTCCAAGAAATAATTCTCTCGAGAAAGGGAAAAAAGATGTGAAATTCTCCACACCAGACTAGAAAACAAGATGAAATGGGATTTCACCAAACGTGGAAATTTCACGTAACCCCGATCTAAAACTGTGGTTTCCAAACGTCTCCGGGTTGTGAAACCCTCATGGATTTTCCTCCCACGCTTTGTCTTAGAGGTAATCAAGTTCAAAACTCATAAACTCCAAAAAATCATAAGATCCCTCACCCCCAACCCCACCACTCCCAACAAAGACCGCAGGCAAGAACACCATGGAACCGACTTTAAGATCTCTAATCTGTAGAGGACACCATTCCTAAAGTTTAAAAGAAATTGATCTTTATTCTGGCAGGATCTGCTGTTTCATGCAGAGTGTATGGCCATGTCTTCGACTCGGGAGAGTGCTATTTAATGTGTTCGAGTACTCAGCAACATATACCCATGCTTTTTACAGAGCCCTTGTGTTCCCCGATTGGCTTCAGGTTTGAAACCCTAAGCTTCAGTTATGTGTCTCTGCTAACAATAGGGCTCACCTCCCGACGCCTGCAAGAGACAAGAGGGATAGCAAGGGAATGACTTCCAGTGTGGGGAATTCCGAGAGAAACGGCAGGATGGCAGCCTGGGTCAACGAATCCACAGAGAACACTGCTCAGCCACCCGCAGGCTCTGCCATGTTCCTCCTGACACCCCCAGGGATCTCCTGCCTGCCCCCAATATGCCACACAAGGGACACATGTGACCCCCGAAAGGCACTGGTGTTGAGAGCCCGCTGCATGAGATGAAGACACACACTCGCTCCTTAAAGAGAAGTTTTAGACATGCATGGCTAAAATCCAACCCAATTATACAAGGACTCTTGGCTGAAAATAAGCTGATGGCTGGAACTTCATAGAATCGCAAGATGTTTCTGTGTAAATCCTGCCACCAAACAGCTGTGAAAATAAACCAGCGTTCCTTGGTGGGCTTCCTCCAAGTGCGGGCCCACCCCAAACCCTGCTGTCTCAGGCCACTGTTTATCACAAACACCGCGTCCTACTCCTAGAGGACAGACCTCAAGGGGAGTCTGCAGACGCTCCTTCCGCACCACAGAGCCGGGAGAGAGGCGGACTCAGAGCTGACAGCGAATGTCATCTTCAACTTTCCAGGCAAGCGATTTAAGTGCAGAAACGGGGTGGGGTTTCTGTGGATATTCACCTGGTGTACAGAGCCTCGTATTCGCAGAACTCCCTTCTCCCAAACAGAAATAACAAATCCCAAGCAAAGTTCAACACATCTTTTTTATGTACAAATGGGACACTGGGACACAGGGGGTTACTTTTTATAAATATCTGCAGTAAATCCCCTAAAAAAGATGTGAATAAAAACGCTCTTTCTCAGCACAAAGGGCTTATCCTTCCTCTAAATCGAAAACTTCCCGAGAGCCTGTGCTTAGCCAAACACTTGTGGACCCCCTGGGAAAAACAGGATCATATTGGGACCAAGGGGAGAGCCTTCCCATCTCCCAGGAGAGCAGAGGTGACTTGAAGGTCATCTGTCGCCCAGGACTTGGGAGTGATTATACTGCGCCTTCCCAAGACTTGCAGCCGGTCGTCTTTGTCAAGCTGCTGATTAAGTGGTCTGTTTCCTGGCAGTGGCCCAGAAGGAAGAGAGGAACTTACAATCACGTGAGGAAGTAAAAAATTCTGGGCATTTTGATTTAAAAAGAACACTTGGTAATCAATGTAACCCTGTAAAGCCGATGTATCGAATTCACCAGAGGGAACATCTTAGGTTAGCATTCCGGAATCTATAAAGACAAGCATTGCTTTAGGAAGATCATTACTTAGCACCAATTTCTCTCACTCGCATAATTTTTCCTTTTCCTCCGAGCCCTTGGCTGTGATCAGCGCTGTCAGAGCAGAGCTCAGCGGTACTTTTAATCAGTAACACAGCTGGTCTGGAAGAGGAGTGCGGTCACACGCCACAGAACAAACAGCGCGCTCACGCCAAACGGCAAGGCCACTGGGGCACACGGACCCACGGCCTCTTCCTGGGGCTGCTCTTTGACTCTCCAGGCCCAGGGGCTTTACTCGAAGCGACGCAGGTGGTTGTACAGCGACTGGACGTAGGTGAAGACACACATGGGGTCTGGCTTGCGGCCCATCACCATCATGTCCTCCACTTCGATGAGGCGCTCACAGTTGGCCAGATTCCTGAAACACACAAGCCCCGTCAGAATGGCGGTCCAGCCCCACAGCCGCGACAGGGCACGGAACTCAGCCTGCAGCCAGAGGTCCCCCCTCTTTATTTCTTTTTTTTTTTTTCCCCTTGGTGTCCCATCCCAATTTGAAAGCCAGTTTGGGCCGGGAGCAGTGGCTCACACCTGTAATCCCAACACTTTGGGAGGCCAAGGCAGGTGGATCACCTGAGGTCATGAGTTCGAGACCAGCGGGGAATTCAGATAACCTGGCAGAACCTTTGGACTCACTGGCTCCAATGCAGTGTTTCCAAACTCCCAGATTTATAAGCCCCCTATATAATTAATATTTTCATTTAAATAGACTTACATTATTTAATTTGGCTTTTATTTTTTAGAGACAGGGTCTTGCTCTGTTGCCCAGGTGTGAGTACAATGGCATGATCCTAGTTCACTGCAGCCTTGACCTGCTGGGCTCAAGTGAGCCTCACACCTTGTCTTCCCAAGTAGCTGGGCTGGACACACACCACCATGCCCAGCTAGTTTTTTGTTATTGTTGTTTTGTTTTTGAGACAGAGTTTCACTCTTGTTGCCCAGGCTGGAGTACAGTTGCACAGTCTTGGCTCACTGCAACCTCCTCCTCCCAGGTTCAAGCGATTCTCCTGCCTCAGCCTCCTGAGGAGCTGGGATTACAGATGTCCACCACCATGCCTGGCTAATTTTGTGTGTGTGTATTTTTAGTAGAGGTGAAGTTTCACCATGTTTGCCAGGCTAGTCTTGAACTCCTGACTGCAGGTGATCCACCTGCCTCGGCCTCGGCCTCCCAAAGTGCTGGGATTACTGGCGTCAGCCACCATGCCTGGCCCAGCTAGTTTTTAAAAAACAGTTTTGTAGAGATGGGGGTCTCATATGTTACCTGGACTGGTCTTGAACGTCTGCCTCAAGCCATCACAAAGCCTCCTGAGTAGCTAGGATTACAGGCACAGGCGATCCACAGTATCTGGCATATTGTATTTAAATTTTAAGTGAGACTATATTTAAGTTAAAAAAAAAAAAAAAGTAAGCTGAGTGTCCTCGTTCACGCCTGTAATTCCAGCACTTTGGGAGGCTGAGGCGGAAGGGTCACCTGAAGTCAGGAGTTTGCAACCAGCCTGATCAATACGGTGAAGCCCAGTCTCTACTAAAAACACCAAAACAATTAGCAGGACGTGGTGGCACATGCCTGTAATCCCAGCTACTAGGGAGGCTGAGACAGGAGAACTGCATGGACCCACGAGGGGAAGCTGCTGCGCCACTGCACTCCAGCCTGGGCAATGGAGCGAAACTCCTCCTCCTCAAAAAAAAAGTAAATATCAACAGTATACGGAAAGTCAGCGTGCGTTATTAAAATAAATGTAAAACTAGGTCAGGTGCGGTGGCTCACACCTGTAATCTTAGCACTTTCGGACGCTGACACGGGTGGATCATGAGGTCAGGAGTTCGAGACCAGCCTGGCCAATGTAGTGAAACCCCATCTCTACTAAAAATACAAAAGTTAGCCAGACATGGTGGTGCATGCCTGTAATCCCAGCTACTCAGGAGGCTGAGACAGGAGAATTGTTTGAACCTGGGAGGCGGAGGTTACAGTGAGCAGAGATGGCGCCATTGCACTCCAGCCTGGGCAACAGTGCAAGAATCTGTCTTAAATAAATAAATAAATCGAAAACTAACAAAGCAAAAAATAAATTTACCCATTTGACTCCTAAAAGTGCTTTTAGACTTTTTTTTATGTATATATTTTTGAGACGGAGTCTTGCTCTGTGGCCCAGGCTGGAGTGCAGAGGTGTGATCTGGGTGCCTGTGCACCCAGCTGACCTTTTTTTTTCCACCATGACCCACAGTAAGGAAGATATTTTTATCATGATTCAGCACAGGCACACATGTATACGAAAATAAACTTTCACATCCTTACCTTTACTACTGCCTGTATTTTCTCCGCGATAATTCACATTATTTCTCTCCCGGGCCCCTCCCCAACTCTTTAAAATGCTGGTCAGGAAGCACTGAAGTGATTTTACAATCACTAATAAGTCGTAACTGGCACTTTAAAAGATTGCTTAATATCATTGCCACCCCCCTCACCCCCCCAGGGCCCTCTGCCCCCTGGCGTGGGAAGTACGGGTTTAATTTTCGGCTCACTGGTTTAGACTGTGTGTACACTGTGGCCTTTCACTGGGGCTCAGAGGGAGGGTGAAGGCCTCATGGCCGTGGGAAGAGGAACATCAACAGTCAAGACATCGCCCTGAGCATCTCAGCACGAGGTCCCGAAGTAACAGCAGACTGCCTGCGGAACGCCCCCGCCCTGCGGCCCCGCCCCCTCCGACTCTGCCCAGCCCGGCGGCCCCCGCCCCCTCCCACTCTGCCCAGCCCTGCGGCCCCGCCCCCTCCCACTCTGCCCAGCCCGGCGGCCCCGCCCCCTCCCACTCTGCCCCCGCACTGCGGCCCCGCCCCCTCCCACTCTGCTCACAGTGTGCCTGGCTCCCCTGGGCTCTAGCTGGAGCCGCCCTGACATTATCAGGCAGAACCAAAAAGGCAGAAACGATCGCACTAGGTCCAGTTGTCAGCGCCCTTCCTTCAGCAGCTGTGCGCGCTTTTGTAGCTCCAGGGGACCACAGTCTTTTGTTTTTAGTTTTTATTTTTCTTTCCATCAGTAAGTGCCTGTCAGGGTTCAAATCCCAGCTCCACTACACACTGGGGTCAGTTGGGGGGAAATAGGGGAGGGAAGGTGGGGGGTGGGGAGTTGGGGAGAGACAGCAAGGGGAGAGATGCCAGATGTAGGTGATGGGGAGGAAGGCAGCAAATCACACTGCCATGTGTGTACCTATGCAACAATCTTGCATGTTCTTCACATGTACCCCAAAACCTAAAATGCAATAAAATAAATAAAGGGGAAAAAAAATCCCAGCTCCACCTCTTACAGGCCGTATATCTTTGGGCAACACACTTCATTTCTCCAGGCCTCAGTTTCTCCATCTGTGAATTATATCCGCCTCAAAAGTGTGCCATGAAGATCGTAAACCCATGCAAGTCAGGTGGCATTGCAAAGGGCACATCGAAAGAGCTAATAAATGTTCAAGATTAGACTGGGCGAGGTGGCTCATGTCTGTCAGCACTTCGGGAGGCCGAGGTGGGAGGATCACTTGAACCCAGGAGTTTGAGGCCAGTCTGGACAACACAGTAAAATCCCGTCTCTACGAAAATTGCAAAAATTAGCCAGGCATGGTGGTGCACACCTGTAGTCCCAGCTACTCGAGGCTGAGGTGCGAAGCTGGCTTCAGCCCAGGGGGTGGAGGCTGCAGTGAGCCCAGATCGCACCACTGCACTCCAGCCTGGGCGACAGAGCCAGATCCTGTCTCAGAAAAAACAAAACCAAAACAAACAAAAAAATCACAGCTCATTCTTGTTGCCGTTTTGATGATCATACCTCACTTTAAGAAACAGTGTGGGTCACAGAGAAAAGGCCTGAATGTGAAATCTAAATAGTTGAGTTCGAACTCTGACTCTTCCAACTGCTTCACCTTCTGTGCCTATTTCCTTACGGTGGTTCATGCCTGTAATCTCGGCGGGCAGATCACCTGAGGTCAGGAGTTTGAGACCAGCCTGGCCAACATGGTAAATGGTTTTTATGTCTCTACTAAAAACATAAAATTAGCCGGGTGTGGTGGTAGGCGCCTGTAATCCCAGCTACTTGGGAGGCTAAGGCAGGAGAATTGCTTGAACCTGGGAGGTGGAGGTTGCAGTGAGCCGAGATTGCACCACTGCACTCCAGCCTGCGTGCGAGAAAAAGAAAAAAAAGAAAATTGGAGTACAGCTCTATACCAGCTCTGCTATCCCTCCCAGTGGGCCTGTTGGGAGGTTGTGATTCCACAATGTGTCTTTATGCATCTTGTTCCCCAGAGAGCCCAGCCAGAGGGGAGACCCCCTGAGCCAGCAAGATTCCTCTGACCCACCCCAGTTTGGCACGACCCACTCAGCGCTTTCTACCAGGACTCACGCGGCTGTGTGCCCCAGAGACAAAGGCTGTAACATTACCCGCAGCCCTGCTCTGCTGTGCTGGCTGGCCGCCAGGCCTCCTATCAGAAACCAACTGTCATGGCGAAATGGAGACATCTGTCCTGGATCCCCTCCCCGCCTCCCCCTTGGGGTTGCAGTGGGTGGCCTGTAAGGGAATCCAACAGGCTTTGTGGGGTGGTGAGTGAGTCTGGCCTGATGAGCGGGCACCCTTTCTCCCTGGGACAGGCCAGACCAGGGCTCCACGTCAGGGAAGTCGGCCCTCTGATGCGAGCAAGCATGCAAAGGTGCTTTGTCAATGATAAAGCATTGAAAATATGAGTTTAGGCTGGGCGCTGTGGCTCATGCCTGTAATCCCAACACTTTGGGAGGCTGCGGTGGGCGGATCATTTGAAGTCAGGAATTCAAGATCAGCCTGGTCAACATGGTGAAACCCCATCATCTCCACGAAAAATACAAAAATTAGGCTGGGCGCAGTGGCTCACACCTGTAATCCCAGCACTTTGGGAGGCCAAGGCAGGCAGATCACCTGAGGTCAGGAGTTCGAGACCAGGCTGATCAACATGGTGAAACCCTGTCTCTACTAAAAATACAAAAATTAGGTGGGCTTGGTGGTGCACGCCTATAATCCCAGCTACTCAGGAGGGTGAGGCAGGAGAATTGCTTGAACCCAAGAGGCAGAGGCTGCAGGGAGCTGATATCACACCACTGCACTCCAGCCTGGGTGACAGAGTGAGAGAGAAAGAGAGAGAGAGAGAGAGAGACAGAGAGAGAGAGAGAGAAAGAGAAAGAGAGAGAGAGAAGAAAAGAAAGAAGAAAGAGGAAAGAAAGAAGAAAGAGAGAGAGAGAAAGAGAAAGAAAGAAAGAAAAAAGAAAGAAGAAAGAAAGAAGAAAGAAAGAAAGAGAAAGGGAAAGAAAGAAAGAAAGTGGAAAGGAAAGAAAAGGAAGGAGGGAGGGAGGGAGGGA